TATAGGCGAAATTGAATAGTGATTTTACCAATTTTCATCATCGTCCAAATTTTATCGTACGATCACAATTGTCCGATAGTGTTTTATTTTTAATTTGTTTTTTACAAATCAGAATGACCTAAATTTTGGAAGGTATGTACATCTTACTGACGCACATTTAATAAAAATTTAAAAATAGTATCCGCAAAAAACAAATTGGCGAAAATACCTCCAAAACTTTTTGAGGTATTTTGGACAATTTTTTCATGTAAAATATTTTTTTTATATTTTTCAAAGATTCTCTTATTTTTTATGAATATACGCTCCAAATTTCAGGTCATTTTGATTTGTAGAAAAACAATAAAAAATAAAACACTACCGAATAATCATGACCGCACGATAAACTTTGGATGGTGATGGGGATAGGTAAAATCATTGTTCATTTTAACCTATGGACATTACGTAGTGTTATATATATATATTTATAACTATTTTTTAATTCCAAAAACAAAACTTAACTTTTATGCAAATTTCCCTTTAAACTATCAAACATATAGGGGCTTATTTTGGAAATTTTGCACATACATTTATTCAATGGAGGAGTGATTTTTAGGGCCCGAATGCTTAAGCCATTTTCATTTATATAGCATTTTATTTTAATGGAGTGATTCACTGCATTTGTGTTAGGGCCTGAATACTTCAGCTATTTATGTCAAAGAGAAGCGAATCTGATAACATTGACATTACCTGGTAAATATAAGATACAATATTTATGCAATCACAACCTCCAATCTTTTAAGAAAAATAGACAATGCACCATCCAATGAATGAAAATGGCACAGGCACTAATACAATGCATCTTGTGCTCATATCGTGCATGGGATGGGCACATGGCTACCAACGATTATATACTCACATCAACTGTAATTGTACTCTGTTCAATTCATTAACTAAAGCCTAACAAATAAAATTCGCAAGAGCTCTAATTTGTTATAATTTTTTGTTCACTATCCATCATCAAATTAAGATCAATAAATATGATTTTATAAATTACATGTGTGTGGAGACAAATATAAAATTTTATTTCATTTATAAATTTATATTTTTTTTAATTAAAAATAAATAAATAAAAATCAAAAGATCGTAGAGAGCCCTAACTTTCATGAAAAGCAGTGCATTTGCTATATGTGGTGTCATAAAATTTATTTCTCTAATAAACTCTCTTCTATTGAGGCAAAAAGGTAATCATTATGAGATAGATTACAAAAAATTTGATTTACTTTTTAAGGTAGCCATCATTTACCCTTTTTTTACTGGAGAATGATGGATGAATGCTATCCTCTTAAGCTAGAGTCTTAATAAATATTAGAAAAAAGCCATCCCCCTACCTGATCTATCTATAAAATAGTATAAACTTGATAGTTCAGATTGAAATTTAAACGCTATAGATAATTGATATTATATGTTAGTATTTATTATTATTATTTTATATGAGTTTGATGGACTCCAATACTTGGGAGCATGTGTGGTACATCCGGCATTCCAAATGAAAAATAATAATGTAACAAACAAAAAATAGGTTAAAATGTGTCCAGCATTGTTGGCGAGCACCAATTCTCCAAATCACATCCTATGATTCAGTCTCGGCCATCCGGACCATATTGTTCTATAAACGAGGCAACTCATTAAATACTCATCCATAAATCTTTTAATTTAATTTTTGCCATTTTTTATCTATTTGATCAAACTCAAATTTGGGGCATGCATATTTCTCACGGGCATGCACCAATACAAAATATAAACAAATTTATTCAATAATAAAAACTAAAACTATCCCAACAAGATTTAGGTGTATTTTGATAAATTTATTATTTTTTTCACATACGTGATGGTGAGAAGCATGGACGCCCTACTCGATCTTAATTTGATATACTAAAAAAATAAAAAACATTGTATGCTCTAAAAAAGTGGACTAGAGTGTAAATATAAAAGGATAGTGATTTGATAGGGCTGCAACCCCATCAAAATAAATAAAGCCTCGGCTCAAAACTCATCGAAAATTGTATTTTGGTATTGAAAAATCTTCAAATCAATATCTTGTCATTTAACATTATGGTTGCGAAAAGAATTAAGATTTCAAGCACTAAAAAATATATATATTGTAACAAATTATCTAGATCTTCTATTTGACCACATCAACAAGAATATATTTTTAGTTCCAAATTTTATATTTGACATTAAAAATTGATTTTAGAACCATTATGGAGATTTCTAATGCCTAAAGTGCTTTTCAAATTAGTATTCGAGATGAGGCATTAATTTGCTTTCATAAAAAGTAGGTCCAAACTCCATCGAATACAAAATATATAGAATGATTTTCAAATTCTGAAATAGAATGGAGTTTTTTTGTAAATTTTCTGTAATAATAATATTCCTGCAAGGATACCCGTAATATTCTTTGAAGTGGGAACACAGATCGGTTGAGATGTTGAAGATTGACCTAGCCCTTCAATAAAAATACCACCAAAGTCCAAAACAAAACAAAAACAGAAAAGAAAAACCAATATAGTATAGGAAAAGTTTATACAGAGCCGAGGGTCTAAACAATCAAATTTAAGCCTACCTCAAAAATTTCTCTAAACATATATATGTGCTTATATATTATCCAAAAAATTATACACCAGTCACTCTACCTTATGCACGTGCACGTTGCTTATGTACTCCTGCATAAAAAACTGGTTAGGAAGTAAGATACACAGAGGGAGAGAGAGAGAGAGAGAAGAAACGAAGAAACAAATTTATTTATGAGAGGCCGAAACCCACTGAGACATTGACTCGTACATCAACTTTGTTTATGAGAAACCGAAACCCACTGCGGCATTGCCTCATACATCATAACATGGAGGAGAAGGATCTCTCTCTCTCTATCTCTAACATAACATAGACTGATCGTCATCTTCATCCTTGTGTCTATCATGACCACTCTCTCCTCCTCTTCAATATTCATCGGTAATGAATCACTGTAACTTTGTTTCTTATTTTTGAAAGTTAATCACTTTAGCTGTATAAAGTTTTGGTTTTTTTTTGGGGGGGTCTTCCGTAGAGAGCTTTCACCACTTCAACTTTCTTTCTTATTTTTGAAAGTTAATCACTTTATCTGAACAAAGGAAATTTTATTTTTTTTTGGTTTTTCCATAGAGAGCTTTCAGGCATATGTTAATGGGGTTATTTTTTTTCCCGATTTTTCTCTTCATATATGGGAAAACTGATTTCTTCTCTCCAATTTTGTTGTTGGGCAAATGGGTTTTTTAGGAGGTTCGCAGTCCTGCCACTCCGAGGAAGTTTGCTGCTCTTTGTGGATCAAACCATCTTTTGAAGCCCACAAAAGTTTCTCGGGGAGCAAGCACAGGACTTCTCCTGATCATTGTAGCGTGAGGTGCAATAATACTCCTCCCTCCCTCTCTCTCTC